GATTTTTTCGCTATTACTATTAGTTTTCTCTTTTAATTTACGCAATTAAGGTAATTTTATAGTTTCGGCATTAATGGGTTGTTTTTTCGCGGTCCCGATTTCAATGAGATGATATTTCGCAGCGGTTTAATGAAATTATCAACGCTCATAAGACTTCACAGTTGGCTTTTTAATTTGGCGACGTGCTAAGAAATTAAATACTGTAGTAATTTGTTGATTTCGGAGTTTCGGGACCGGTGGATTATTGTTTCGGGATCTCGTATATTTGGGAATTACAACTACTTCTATCATTCTTTCATTTAATTTACGTTATTAAGGTAATTTCAGAGTTTCGGCATTAATGGGTCTCCTTTCGCGGTCCCGATTTTCTTGAGTTGATATTTTTCATAAGATTTTAACTGTGTCTCACTTCTTTTATCATACTTTGGTAAATGCAAAAGTAGGGATTCCGATTTTTTCGGGATTACAATTATTTTTAATATTTTGCCAATTTTAACTATAGCCAATTTAATATTTACTAATAGCGTTTTTCATAATATTTTGTGGAAATTTGCTTTATTTTTTCCCTTACTTTGATGACTTCAGAGTATCGGGATCCAGTACTGATAAAGGCTAAACACACGTAACATTATGGCAATAAACGTAATTATAGCTTTAGCAGTAGTGTAAGCATGCAACTGCGGCTTTGTGCCATTTGAGTTGGCTGGCATTGTTGTTTAGCCGGTACGTGTTTGCGCGCCTTAAAGTGCGCTACAAAAAATTGTTGCAAACCGCTTTTAGGTATTAGCTTTTGTTGTTACGACACTAAATATCACTTAATTTGTTGGCCTGTCTTTTGAATGATTCTTGCATAACAATGGGTAGTTAAAGGGATAATACCGCTACAATGTGTTGATTTTAGTGCAGCATTAGGTGGCAAGTACCAACCCATAAATTTCAATGAAGGCTTAGTCGATTGTAATGGGGCGTTAAAGCAGGTACTTAATAAGRATTCATTGGAATGAGATATTTTAAGATAGCGTAGATATAGTAATAAAGACATTAAAGTAATTTGTGTGGCACATATRCGAGATAATAAACTAATTTCATGCAATTTTAACTTGTAGTCGYATATATAAATATATGTAGTATATGTTGTCATCACTTACCACTTTTAAAATCTGAAAGTAGAAAAAAGATTGATATATTAAAAATTTGATTTTTTTTATAGAAAGCTAAATTGGAAGAAAAATCAGGCTCGAACACCGAAATGCTTTTGGAAATTGTACAAATTTAAGTAGTTAAATATTTGGCGATTTTGGTAAAAATTAAAAAAGGGTAACTGAGATTATATCGGCTCGTAAAATGCAAAATAACGTAACATTACTTTTAATAAATTTACAGGCGAAGAAAAAACGTTATAATAGTAACCACTTATATTGAAAGAAAATTTGAGTTGTGGTTATAAAATGGTTATATATTGGTTATATCTGACATATTAAAATGAAAATTTTATGCTACATATATGTATATAATGTCATGTAGTGAATCGTAAGCAATAAAAAACTAAATTCAAATTATTTTTACCGTTGGTTAAATTATGACTAAATGAGCCCTTTTTGAAATTAATTAAGTCTTCAGAATTCAAAATTTTTCATGTATTTCAATATAAATTTTATTTAATATAATTTCTATAATTTCTATAGTCATTTGACAAACTCAGCGACGTTTAGGGTTACTCTGCGAACTCGGCTTATGTTCAACATTGTATTATTAACGATCTTAGCTTATAATAAAGACAGCCTAACAGAAATCAAACATATTTTATGGTTCTTGGGAAAGTCACATAATTATGTATTGGGAAAATATACGTATATAGTATGATCTACACCAAAAATCATTGACTTTTGAAGCTGTTCTCGTACATTATTTACTCAGTGACAATGATGGAGCAGTTCTTTAAGCTCTAGAACACGAGCAGACTTCAAAAAAATTATAATCCCATAATCCGATTTCACTCTTTGATATTTGACATTTTTTGTTCACAAAACCACATATGAGTATATTGGCGATTCTTAGCACGCGTCATAACGTGATTGAATGATTGGTAATTATTGAGTTACTTGTCAATAGAAAGAGACTTATAATCCCTATACAAGTAGGTAGATGTATACATACATGCGTATATATGTATATCCTCAAGTTCGTGGGTGTGTATAAAGTCAATAACTCATTTAAGCATGTGTTTTAATATTTTTGTTTATTTTAATTTGCACTTCAATTTATTTTATATATAACATCAATATTTTATGGGGGATTTCAGTAGACAACAGTAAGAAAGMGAATGAAAATCAGAACAAAAATATGTACGTTGAAGTAGGCACGGATAAAGCGAAGATACGGTATATTTTTGGATTTATTTTAATTATATTGTGTGTAAAATCACGCTTTAAGAATAATAGAATTATTCTTAGGAACGATCCCGGGTCCAATTTCRTTACTTTCTAAATCCATAACCCAAATGTGGTAAGCATACGTTTTTTATTTATTCAGGTCTACGAATATAGCGATATTAAGCTTATCCAAATAAAACCTAAATGAATTTCCAAGTCCATGAAAATGTTAGTTGATTACAATCAGGACAACCAAATGCAATAAAGTCTGCTTTAGAGGCTTCAAAAATCGATTTTTTTGAGGATTTTTCTTGGGAGGGAAACAAATAATTGATTAAAGCGAAATTTTTAGGATTTATAGTTGTATATTTAAACATCATTCACAAATTTTTTGGATACGATGTCTTTAATATTCTGYCTTTAGGAAGCAATTACCCGATGCATCTCGCATGTGCATTTGTCGGACGGCGGGCAGATGCAGGTTGCAATTTCTATCGGAAACAAAAAATTTAAAGAGATTCATATTTTTTAATAATTTATTTTCTAGTTACACTAAGAAAATTCCAAAAAAGTGTAACATTTAAAAAAAATTTAACAATAAAAAAAAGTGAATTTTGGACAAATAATTTTACTTTATGTTGTTTAAAAATATGTTCAAACTTGGCGTCTCTTAGTTGTTTTTAGTTTAAATAAAAGGCAATTTAAAGCAAAAGATAATAAACTTTGCCCCAATTCCATACGACGTTTAGTTTTTTTCTATCCTTCACGTCAATTAAAAAAAACTTAAAAATGTAAAACCGAGAAATCGTGCGTCAAAATTTTAGCTTTTTGCCCAAGCGCTAATATATCTGCCAGATGCTCGGTCACTATTTCCCTTCTAGCTTCGAAAATATTTCGAATTCCCATCTATAACTTTGGAGTAAATTCTTTGATAATTTTTAAAGAGATTTGAGCAAAAAAAAAGACAATAGAAGCTTCTAAAGCAGACCCCCCTTAAGTTTTGTTTCTAAAATGTTCTAAAAACTTAGATTATCTGAAAAGGCAAATGTGTCATCAGAGCAGTAATGTATAAGCATTACAAGTATGTAAATACATCTTATGCACAACTTCACATTCACGAACCCTTCTTCAGTGGCCTTCTTYCAATTTAATTGAACACTACAAAATAATATCACAAAGTCGGCGAAAGTTCAGAGCGCGGCAAGTTTTTYGTTTATTGTTATTTACTTGGTGCGATCGCAATCTACGCTAGAATTACTGATTATACAGGGACAATATGTTGTAAACTTTTCTACGCAATTTGTTGTTGTTGGTTTACTTTTTAGAATCATTTCATCAGAGGCTTAAGTGCTAATGCAATTTTAATTGAACAGCTCGTTTGTTAAGCAAAGTTAAATAAAGATTGTCGCAACATAGTGTCTTTGTTTAGGTATGTATATGCAGGGTTTTTTATTCTTTTTGATTTTCTATATTAGCTTTTATTGCTTTTTTGGTCTGAATAATAAAATTTTGCAAGAAACTTATTTCTCGCACAAATATTTTATTGATAAAAAAATACTCAATATATAGATATACATTGTGACAAGAAAGCACCCGAAAATTGTAAATCAATTCACCGGGTAAATCATATTAAAAAAAATGTATTTTGCTAAGTTGGTAGGACTGTCCTTAATTACTTTATCAAATATGAGCGCGATCTAGTTTGTTTACTGCTTAAGTCGGTACACCTCGGTAGTGCGATGCGATTTCTACAATGGAAATATCGAACAAAGAATWTAACTCAAATTTGGTATTTCTAACCGAATTTCGTGTGCGGAATCGTTGCGAATATTGGAAAAGACTTACGGTGTTTCAGTTTTATCAGAAACACAAGCCTACGAGAGGTACAAAGCCTTCAAAGAGCGTTGAGAGATCGTTGAACACATGCTTCGTTCTGGACGACCTTCGAACTCTTGTTGAAAGTATTAAAATAGTAAAAGATATGGTGCTTGAAAATCGTCCGGAAAAGAGATCGACATCTCTCCCGAGTCGAATGAATTTGGTGGATATTTAGTGATTTTTTCTTGAAATTATATTTATATTATATTTGAATTGAATCACTATGAAATATATAGCTTTAGTCCAACTAAGTGGTCAAAATCAATATCTTGTACACGCGGTAAAAATGGAACTGTGTAGGGTATTATACATAGCTTGAATGCTGCCGAAGTACACTTTTTTTTGTTTTCCGTTAGGAATATGCAAACAATTTTAATGTTTTCTTCTCTTTGTTTTTGCCTATGTCTCTGAATCAAATGCTTTATTGAAATCTTTAATAATACGTTCATGCTTACATACATATGTACATATGTTCAAACTCTATTTATCAGCTTTGCTATGTAAGCAAACAAAAAATTAACATGTAATACATGCCCAGACAAGAGTGTGTATGACCTTCTGGAATCTTTGCAATGCTTTGAATGAATTTTGACAATTGAGAACAGACTGTGGAAGTGATAAGTGAGCGAGTGGGTAATAATAACAGACTATTGGAGAGCAATTTGAAAGACAATGAAAACTAATAGAAAGCAAACAACAACAAATTGATAAAATATCATTCAAGAATATATATGTACATATATATGTACATATGTATGTATGTAACAACATGTGGATGTATGTTGTATAAGACATGTTCAATTGTAATTGGAATGCAAACAAATTAACAACCGACACCCACAAGAACAGAAAAGTGCAAAAAAAAAAAAAAATTATAACAAAAGCAACAACACTAAGTAGCTACATGAGAGCATTAATGTGCGGCATTTAAAAACCAATAAGTCAGTTAAGAAAAAACCAAACAAAACCATAATAAATAAATACAAATAAACAAAACAATTAACAAGCAAGCATTATTAACAATAACAATAACACCAAATACACATTCTTCTTACGTGCCATGTGCAGATATGTGGCAGTAGCGGTGTAAAGTAYTATTCTATGCTCCGACGTCTTAGGGCGGCATAGTTGACAAAGTGAATGTGACAACAAGTGATAAGCAAAAGAACGGAAAGAGCGAAACAACGAGCGGGCAACTCATTTTTACAAAATTACAAATACAAACATTCAACATGCCAGTTCCTGTGAATTACCGTTGCAGATTATGCGCCGACAGTCTAATTGCGGTTATTGTTGTTCTGCGGCTGCTGCTCTTCCTGACTCGTGTCGGTCATAGCACCTGTCATGGTGAGTATATTTGTTGTTGTTAACACATACATACATATAAATATGCGGCGAGCTGAGATACGCTGTAGTTCACAAGACGGTAGGGAGCCGTATGTGTGTAACCGTGTAAATATGTGTAAATATTTATTGGATGTATTTTTATGAGCATGTGTCATTCTATGATTCTATTATCAATCATGACAAGTTATCGCATCATCAGATAAAGGTAATCCCCAAATACATATTTATCCACCATATATATATATGTAATTSAGACTAATGTACATACATATGTTGAACAGAATATTGGAGAGCAATACATATGTATGTATGTACATATACATATAACGAAATTATGTGAGTTTAAAAATCAAACAATTAATTTTCTTATTAAGCCATATGTAATATTTTATGGATGAAGTTGATCACACAAAGCAAGCAAGAACGTTAACTTTGGATGCACAAATGGTTTAAATACCTCTTACAGATGCATGCGCTAAGTATAAAAAAAAATTTATATCTTCAATTTTATCGATCAACTTGTATGATAGCTATAGTCCGATCTTAACATTATTTTGGAGATTAAACCATTGTCTTGAACAAAAATCGCCTTTAAAGCTATGTATATGCGGCCGAAACCAGCGATTCTGGTTAACGAGCAGTTTCTAGAGCATGTCTTCTTCTTTATTGGCGTAGACACCGCTTTCGTGCAAGTTTACAACAGCAGGCCAGTCTCTCTTTCTATTCGGTGTTTGGCTGATTCCAAGAGTAGACAGGTCCTTCTCCACCAGGTCTTTCCAGCTCAGTGGAGGTCATCCTCTTTCTCTGCTTCCACCGACGTGTGCTGCGTCGAATTCTGTCAGAGATGACCACTCCATTTGGACGACATAACCTAGCCACCGTTGCAGCTGTCTCTTAATTCGCTGAACTATTTCAATGTCGTCGTATATCTCGTACAGCTCATCGTTCCATCGACTGACTGGAATCTTCCGCAGAACCTTTATATCGAAAACACGTAACGCCGACTCATCAGATGTGGTCATCTTCCATGCCTCTGCACCATATAGCAGGACGGGAATAATGAGGGACTTATAAAGTTTGGCCTTTGTTCGTCGAGAGAGGACTTCACTTCTCCATTGCCTAGTCAGTCCGAAGTACCACGCCTTGGCAAGAGTTATTCGGCATTAGATTTTGCAGCTGACATTGTTGTTGRTGTTAATGATTCTTACGAGGACATCAACCAGCTGGGTAGCTGCACCTTCCTAATAAAGGGAAAGGACATTTCAGGTGCATGACTTTAAATACAAGTAGTTCTCCTCAATATGTTTGCAGTGGTCGTCGTCAAAAGAGTGGTCTATCATCTGCGGCCATTTTCTTCTTTTCATTGGGCGTGTTTTTTAAGTGGCGAGGCCCAAACCGAGGGTACAACCTTGCTGAGGGATGTTTCGTCTTCTTCTTTAGCTCGTCTTCAAACAGCTGTTTGGCTACCCAAAAGATCCTTGGTCAAAGACTGGAAGTAGTGAGCTGCTTGATTCATATACATATAAAATAATCGTTTCTGGTTACTCCCAAGTGATGACGCTCAGAGGACTTTCCTCACTTGCGTGAACTTCTACACATGGCAGCATTCTCCAGAGGATGTTAGGAGAAGATATTTCGTCAAATAACAAAGTGTAGTGCAGCTCTATCCTATAGTAATCCAGTATCTGYGGTTGCGGCAAATGAACAGCTTATTGGGGAGATATCTCAAAAACTGAGGGACTAGCTTGCTTATATACTTTTTTCAACAGCATTGTGATTTTCGTAAATAAAAAATAAATGGATTCTACATTATCTTGTCCTATACATATTTCATTTTTTATTTTATTTTTTAGAGTTATCTCAAATACTGGTTCACAACTCTAACTTCACTTATCATGGTAGTCTTGTTTTAACCGCAGTTTGATATTGTTTAGAGGCTATCTAGTCCCCGTTTATTTGGTAAGGATCGAGCACATTGTCATCGAAGTCATCTAATGGTAGGCCCAGGAAACGGGCTGTTTCAACTGTCAGACTGAGCATGCAAAGAGTCATGTGGATGAGAAGAAATAATATTTACAGTACCTAATACGAAGTTGTGGTTGTTCTAAATTCTGGCATAGCTCGAGCTCTTCGTCTGCAATGGGGGTGGTTGGACTCTAAGTACGCCATTGACTGAGAGGGTGTCGATCAAGGTGTTTATGGGGTATGGAAGCGGGAGGTAGAGAGCGCGAGCCAATATTGGTCGGCGATTGGAAGAACACGAAGACACGGAAACTAGATTACCACCGTTTTCTGGAATTATAAGGCTCACAGCGCTGTACTATAAGTGGACCGACTTAGTGGACCGATATATTACAAAAATTATGCCCAATCAGGACCTTTGACGCCGAATGGCAAAAATAATGGTCAACTGGCCCCGTTTATATTTCAATATATATGTGGCTAGAGTTTTGGCTTATAATTTTAGGGCGATTATGAGGATAATGAGCAATGGAGAATCGTATTAAACCCTACTTCCGCCAAATTGATTGCTCCGCTCAGCCTAGGGTAATTGACCTTCCCGTGATCCATCCGAACTTATCATATTTCCTAGTAATTTTCTTACTTTGTAAGCACAAATAATATATTTGTGTGTGTGTGTGTATTTAAGGTGTGGGCAACGCCATTTGCAATGAAATATTTTAAATGACATGTAATCATCATCAGCTTGATATCAGCTACGTCATAGGCGTGCACAACTAAGTACTTTCACATCTGCTCTGAGAGACACTTTGGTAAGACAACATTACGAACTTAAGTTGCAGTGCATGCTAGTGAACTGGCATATGAAGAATGCATATCTTCTGCACGTCACTCACTTCCAACAACACACACTCAAATGTACATGCCTTAATTTCCATGCGATATCTTGTCTTTGCATATTATGGCTGAATTTATTTATATGTGGTATTTCGGCGTTTTTGTTTTTGTAGTCGTTTTGTTGCACACACCCTCTGGCGTATTCAATTTCACCTTTCTATTAGGGGTTGTCCATMTTTAGTTGAAAGGTCACTCATAGAGTTACAAAAAATGAAATAAAACCGACGATAACCACAAGCGTTAGAAAGGTGAACAATGAAACGGTAAATTTGAGCATACTTCTTCCTTCCAGCTGGCTTTCTGCTCAGAAAAGTTTTYGATATAACACTGAACCTACACTTTCGATCTGTTTATGTCTAAAAAAAATTTGATTTAAATTTCATTAAATCGGTTTGCTTTTCAGTTTCAGTACATCAATCGCTTTGAGATTCGTAAATATGAAAACAAATTCTCTCCGACTTTCATTAAACAATATTTTCAAATCTTTTAAATTAAAACATCAACCGTCAATATTAAAAACATGACTTTATTTCTCTCTATATTTCGATGTTAATAATGTGAGTTGATCAGATGGTCGAATTATTTGGATTTCGTTACAATACTTCCCGAGAATTTCGATTTTTGCTTCGAGTATTGGTTGTATTTTTATATTAATAATAGGATTCCTTATTGATTGAGTGATTTTGGAACCAATCGTGCTTTAACTTTTCATATGGAACACTTCTCCAGCCTGCTGAATGGCAGTGAAGGCATAACATCAGGAGATGGTGAACCCGATGGATTRCCGGCCGAACTATTCAAACACGGCGGCGAAGAACTGATAAGGAGCATGCATCAGCTTATTTGTAGAATATGGTCGGTAGAATGCGTGATTGCAATTGTGCTTTGCCCAATCTACAAACAGCGAGACTCCACAATCTGCGCCAACTACCGTGGGTTAAGCCTCTTCAACATCGCATATAAGGTTCTATTGAGCGTATTGTGTGAAARATTAAAGTTCACCCTCAACAAACTGATTGGACCTTTTCAGTGTGGCTTTAGACCTGGAAAATCAAAAACTGAGCAGATATTTACGATGCGGCAACTCTTGGAAAAGACCCGTGAAAAGAGAATAGACAAGCACCTTTGCCTAGCGACTAGACTCTCACGACACTGTTGACAGTCATAACTTTATTAACACAAACAATAATGTTAACGGCGAAACCCAACGCAGRACAACTCTTTCCAACAGGTGCTACTTCAGACTGAGTAGGGAATTGAAAAGTAATGTCCTCTCTCGATGAACAAAGACCAATCTATATAAGTCACTCATTATTCCCGTCATATTTCATGCGTCGGTCACTAAGTTGAATACCCTACAAAAACGAAATGTCTACAAACGGAAAGCGAGCACACGGAATACTCGAATAAATAAATTTGTTTCTTTGTTTTATTGGTTCACAACAATGTAAACCCAAAGTTAAATTAACCTTTTGACCTGACAGAATGGCAAACAATTGATTGATTTTTGAATAACAAAAACAAATTGGCAATCAATTTAATTTTGCCATGTGTGTAGTACATATTTATATACGTATGTACACATATACACAAGCAAGATTATGGGCACGTCTGCCGCTAGATGTTCAATTTTTCGCTGTCCAAATTTTTTCGGTCTACACTCAAAGGTCTTTGGCGATTTTCGTTGAAGAAYAAAGAAATTAATTAAAAATGTAATGATGGATATGCTATTGAAAACAAAATTAAAAAGAAAAAATACTAACAACAACAAAAAATGCAAACAGCTGCAAATTTAATTCATTCGTCATTATTTATTTGGCGATAGTRGAGGCGTTCGACAGAGTGGCGATTACCACGACGATTAATTGGCGGCGTGTTTACCTAAGTATATAGTTATATGTACACATATACATGTAATTGAATGTGCATTTTTGACTGTTTTGTGTGCACGCGCCTTGCAGGTGTATTTGTGTGCGTGCGTGTATGAGGGAGAACTGTGATGCTTAATGTATTTACTCTGCCAGCAATCAACTGCATTTGCGTTTTCTCAACTAATCCTTACCGTTAATATCAATGCTCTTTCATGCGTGATAAGATAATGATTCAAGTTACTATACATACATATATACCTACATTTGTTT